CGAGCTCCAGCTGGAGGGAGTGAGATTTGTAGCCGTGGGTGTGGTGGAACATTTTGGCGGTTTTTGTGGTTGTTATTTTTTTGGTGAGTAATCGGTGGATGGGTGAGGTGAAGTGAGGTGAGGATCTTGTTGTGAGAAAGGAACAGATGAGGTTGAGATAAAGTTATAATCTCAGGTGGCTGGGTAAACAGTGTGTATGTGTATGTGTTTGTTGATTGGCGTATTTGAGATGGTGTAGTCCAGTCCAGTGATTGTTCAGCTTCCTTGGGTCGTTGTCCCTAGTTCCCTCTTGTTTCACAGATGCTGGTCCTCGCTTAAGCTGCCAAATAGGGGGGCGCTGCTGAAGGAAAAAAGGGGTTCTAGAATTCCAAACAGACTTCCTCTTTTTGCGGGGATGTGAGATGAAGATATCTTTGACGATCGAGTGCGGAATTCGAGAAACCAAGTCCCCGGGTTTGTAATCGGAATTCGGCCGAGGTTGAATCTTTGAGAGGAGGTGAGGTTGCAGTTGCTTAGGAGACAACAGCGACAAGGAAGACATGATCAGCTGTGCCGTCGGGTTGTGCCAAAATGGATCGGACAGACTTACACCAATCCGTCCCTTGAAAGGATCCTTGTTATTTTGTACACCACTTGCCCGTCTCCGCATGCCCAGCAGCTCATTCAGTTCGTTCTAGTGGCCCGCTAGGGGCCTGTTACGGGTGGGTACCTACGGGGCATGGCCCCATTTATTTTACCGAACCACCCACCGGGAAAGCTCCAACTGACGGGGCAGAGCCTGGACCGAGGCCCCCGGCAACAATTTCCCTTTTCAGACAAAAACTCCGGCGACTACCGTGACGACGTCCGGATCATGACGCGCCGGAGGAGAGGCCGACGAGAACACTTAGACAACACGACACAACACAACATAACGACTTGCGAATCATTGCATGAACGAAACATCAATTCAATCGGACACTTCTTTGGAATTACCTGAATCTAGGACGATGGGGCCATCGATGCCTTCCATCTCTCCATTGAGTACTGTCTCTCCAACCTTCATGGGCCGTTTTGTTATTCGGCATTCAAACATGTCTGGGATCTCCTAGCCTCAACATCTCCCACTATGACAAACCTACTTTTCTCCCATGTACCAATCCACAGGCAACTCTTCCGGGTCCGGAAGGTAGGGTACCTAGGTAGTGTAAGGTAGCTATCCACCACGTGCAGTGATCTCAGTTCAAAGTTTCCCACTGAAAGCTATCATCTAGAAGTATCCATACCATTCAATCCTCCCAATAGTTTTCTCCGAACATCTCCAGATGCGCTTCATAATCCCAATCCACCCGAGCTTGCTGAGAAGGGCGGCGCTCGTCCTTGTCCTCCTCCTCCTCCTCCTCCTCAATCTTGTCATCATCATCATCCATGTCGTTTCTCTTTCTCTTGTTGGCGTTGGCGATACTGCCCTCTTGGAGTTGGATGTCGAGACGGTCCTCACCAGAACCCGCATGGTTGCCACTGCCAGCGCTTTTGACCAAATAGTCTCCCAACAGATCATCGCCATGGAAGAAACAATCGGCCGCAAAGGTATCATCACCGTCGGCATCCGCGCTGTGACCCTCCATGCCAGGACCGACGATACTGTTGAATTCGTCTACGAGGCTCAGGAACTCGTCATCGAAGAGATCTACATGTTGCTCTTCTTCCTCAGCAGCACGAATTCTCTGCCCCTGCTGCGGGTTAGCGTTCTTCTCCGTTGCTGCTGCTGTTGTTGGCTTCTCCTGACCCGAGGAGATAGCGAGAGGGATGTGGATGGTGGTGGTGGTCACAACATTGTTGGTAGCAGCATCGGCGACAGTAGCCAACGCCTCGTGCTCCGGGTGGCGCTCCTCGCCAGGAGTGATGTCGATAACAAAGCTATGGGCGCCCTTAACGTTGTTCAGCAGGGTAGGAGGAATGCGCAGCGTGACTTGGACGGTGACAAAATCTTCATGTTGCTGGGCCGCCTTCTTGTGTGTGTGAGACTGTTGAAGTGTATTAGGTACTTGATACGCGTAGATAGCCATGAAAGCAGGACAAGTCGTCATGTCCCAGAGGGAGAAAAAGAATAGGAGACAAGCATGTCATGTGGGAAGGAGCTGATTTTTACTTACAATTTAGATGGATTGAATTGTTGGCCACTGCTTACTGCGCCTGAAGACTATGTCGGTACATCTACTGATGTTGCCATTTTTCATTGTTGATGCCCTCGTGGGTTGTCAACTTCAAGTTTGATGGCAGGTAGATGACAGGTAGGTAGGTACAGACAAAGACGTTCGCTGTCCGGTTGAATGGGTCGAAATTCGCGGTGATCAAGATGACGATGATGAAAGAAATGGCAATAGGGATAGGCGGGCACTTATACTCCATAAAGCAGGGAATTTTGGACCAAGGTTTGGTTCTGCTCTGCACAAAACCCTTCACCACCATGGAACCATATGGTCTTGTAGACATGGAGAGAACGAGGTGAATGCCACTCCCGTACGCGGCAGCGTAAAGAGAACCTGAACCGTGGTTGTGGTTTGGGGTCCTTGCTCCTTGAAGTCGAAACCTCGTCGTTGAAACCTTCAGGAAGAAAGATGGTGAAGGGTTGTGTCCAGACTACATATGTATAGAGATAACCTTGGTCTGGCCCCAGTGGCAGAAATTGCTGTTGCAGAGAGTACAAGATCCCTCATACTATCCGTCCCCATTTCCCACTTGCTACCTTAACTATTTTTTCTCTCCATTCTCACAACATCATCATTCTTACCAGCGAGAATTTTGCACATCGAAAACCGAACAATCCCATCCTTCCTGACCTACCTATCTGCCACTGCCGCCCCGCCAAGCCCACAAGGTGAAGGAGTTGACAACCGATCAACTGATTTGACCATCACTAATATTCGTCAACCTAAATAAAAAAAAACCATATCTCTCCCGACCGACAATATCTCTATCAGCAACGACAAACACTCAGCGACAAGCATCCACGATAACATCAATTCCGTACCGCTGACAAGTGGAAGAGTTGTAATGCACAAGCCCAAACTAAACCTGTTCAAATTGCAAGTTCAAAAACAGAGGTATGTCCATCCCCTTATCTCTCTCTCTTCTGGTCCCTTCTGAGAAATCCATCATCCACCTCTCAAGTCCCTCACCACATCCTCACCACATCCTCACCTCGAGATGCCTCGAGATATCTCGTAATATATATCCAGATACCTCTATGTATATGTATAACTCTAACACCCTTTCAACAGCTCTCTTCATCTACCATCACTAGAACAACCACTCGGCTACCTCTCTACGATACCCTAGGTTGTACCCTTCCATACCAAGGTAAAAGCCAAGCAAGGAACGCCCAAAAGTAGCGCCAAACATGGATTTCAACATCTCCATAAACTCCCTCGACACGTCAAACTACCTCGTCACCGTGAACCATACCACTGGCGCCGTGACAATCACTGGAAACGTGACTGTCACCATCGCTCCCACCACTCCTCCTCCCGACAACAAGCAGCAGCAGCAGCAGCCTGACCAGGCTGCCGCCCAGGCAGATCAGCCCGGCCCGGCCGAGCAGGCATACAAGAGTCCTCCGGCTACTCCTCCCCACCATTGAGAGATGAGGTCAGTCAGTCAGTCAGTGGCTGTGATTTGAAGGAGGAACAGTCGTGAAGAAAGGGTCGAAGAGGAGAGGAAGGGTAGATGGGATTCAGATTGGGTCGGATCGGGTGTACACCACCACGACCACGAGGGGGTTTAGGGAATGGAAGAGTTAAAGAACATCATCAAACAGCATAGGTAGTTTTAGGACGCAAACCCAAGAACCTCTTCTTTGAGTTGGCAGCCATATCTTTTCCCACTGCAGGCTCCCAACCTCTCTAAAGCCCATTCCAAACCACTTAGAGCCAAGTTCACACTGTCGGATAAATGAGACCAGAAAAACATATCTCGTGCCCGTAAAAAAAATAATCCGATGGTACTTTCTTTACCTTATTGAGGAGAATCAGAGGAGGTTCGCGAGGTTCGGTAACCTCTACTGTACCGGCCCCAAGGACCCCACGGAGCTGAGTGGCACCGAGGATCCTACTACCTAGCTACTACCGACCGAGGGATGCAAAAATGAAGATGGATGTCAGTGGCTGTGGTAAAAGTCTGAGGAGCTGTTTTCGGAGAGAGGATAGGTATGTAGGTAGAAGTAGAAATAGTATAGGGAAGAAAGATGAGGTGGGATAGGACGAATTGGTGTTCATGAGGAAGACTAGGCTAGGTACCTACCTACCTACCGTGCCTATAGAGCAGGGAGTGGTTAGCCAACGTTAAGCATGATGAGCTCCGATATCTCTCGAGTCAAGGTACTTGACTTGCCTTGCCTTACCTACCTGAGTCATAGTAGACCAGACCACTGCTGCACGTTCCCAACCTTCTTAGCTCCCGCTGTCCCGTTCAAGCCAAATTCACATTGCTAGTTCTCAAAAACGTTTAAACGTGCCTTTCAAAATCCCGTGGTATTGAGGTGAATAGGAGGTTCCTTCCTTTCTTCAAACCACAATCCCGTTCGTACAATTGCTCCCGAAAATGCGCCGTTATAAAAAACAGAGATGATGATGAATAGTACATGTATGTGTGTGTGTGTGTGTCGTGACGATCCAGTACACTTTTTTCTCTTTCCCCCTTTTCCCATCCCATCCTATCCTTGGCTGTTGTACACCCGTCCGTCCGCGCCACATGGTTGATGTTGTTGTACACCGGTAGGTAGCGAAACACATGTGGCTATGTGGCTACCTATGCTCGATCTTGTGCCACTCTCTATACACAGGGGCTCACATGGTATATATATAGAATGTATGCGTGTTACAATGACCGCTCGTCTTGTTCTCTCTTTCTTTTTATTTCGCCTTTAGGTGGTTTATATCTTTACTTGTTGCGCTTTAGCGTCTTAACGGCCATTTCTATTAGGCCATCCTTGGCTTCGCTTTCGGGAAACCCGCTGATGGCTTCGATGGCCTTTTCGGCGTAGTCCTGGGCGAGAGCACGGGTCTGCTCAATACCGTTGCTCTGGAGAACCAACTCTCTTGCCTGTTTGTGACTGTGTTAGTACTCGCGTGCGAAAACCCAAACCGTACACAGAAGAAAAAACATACCCTAGCAGCATCACCCTCCTTCTCAAACTTCCTGCCGACCAAAGGACCAAGCTCCGGCATCGTCTTCCAAGCAAACAGCAAAGGAGCAGTCGCCAAGCCAAGCTCGAGATCAGCACCGGCAGGCTTGCCCAGCTCCTTCTCGCTGCGAGTGTAGTCCAGCATGTCGTCGACCAGCTGGAAAGCCAAGCCAAGGTTCTTGCCATACAGATAAGCAGCATCCACGGTCGCCGCATCAGCGCCGCCCAGCAGCGCCGACGCGCGACAGCTCTTGCTGATCAGGGAAGCCGTCTTGAGGTAGGTCTTTTGGAGGTAGTAGGTGAGGGTCTCCTCGGACCACTTGGGGTTCTTTTCGTCGCGAGCCGTGTTCTTGAGCTGCATGAACTCGCCCTCGACAAGGTTGGCGATGACGGTAGCGAGCAGCTCGACGACTTCGGCGTGGCGGAGACGGGCAAGGGCGACGGAGGCTCTCCCGAGAAGGAAGTCACCGGCCAGAACGGCCATCTTGTTTCCGAACTCGAGGTTGGCGGAGGGAGCGCCGCGGCGGGACTCGGAGTGATCGATGACATCGTCGTGAAGAAGCGAGGCGGTATGGATCAGCTCGGTGATCTCGGCAAGTCGTCGTTGGGAGGGGAGGATATCGGTATCTGCGGGAGTGGTCTCGGAGGCGGGGGTGGCGGCGGAAGGGTTGAAGTCGGAGAGGATGTTGAGAGGCGAGATCGAGGTGTCAATGGCAGCGGAAGCCTGGAGAGTCGATTGTTGCCTTTGAGGAGCCTTGGGGCACAAAGCAGTGGCGCGAGACATGAGAAGGACGATTAATGGGCGCACATGCTTTCCCTCGGCCTGTGTGTAGTACTTGGCGGCGCGGTCGAGCGAGGGGTGGCCAGAACCCAGGAGCTTGCGGATGTTACCTGTTAGGAACTTCATCTCGCCGGCAACGAGACGGAGAGGGTCAATGGTGGGCAACCCGTCGGTGCCCTTGATGACCTTGTTGACGGCATTGTTGACGATGTTGCCGGCAACCGAGACAGCAGCTCCCCATGCCGAGTCGTTCCTCTTGGTGTTGTGGTAGAGGGCCTTGGACTGTCGTATCCTCCCTGTTGTTAGGGCACATCTCGACTGTGTAAGACCAAGACCGGTCCGAACCACCGAAGCCGCTCCCGTCCGGAGCTGCATGATTCCCGTGTGTTTCCCGCGCACGTCCTTCTTGTCGAGAAGGACCAATGGACTGTTTACTGTTGGCTGGCAAGTGTCTCTTGCATGTAGTGGTGTTTTCGGAACCGGGATGCGGCTGTCGTGGTGTTGAGGACCGATCGGGTGGTGGCAGGAAGTCGATTCGAGCAAGTAAAAAAAAAAAAAACAGCTCTTGATCGTCCGAGTCGGGTGTGACGGGTCACTGGTTGAGCAGTAGTGGATGGACTTTATTCTGTGGTGGTGTTGTGGTACTACAGTAAGTATGTACTCGGCGGCTCAGTCCAAGAAGTATCCGGGAGAGTGGGTGTGGTGGTTCGGTGGTCGGTGGACGGTGGTGGTGGTCTTCCGTCCGGTGGAAATGTTACAAACAACTGCGATTCAACAGCGACTGAGTGCTCCTCTTCCTCCGATCCCGAAAAGTTCCATCCTCCAAAAACTTTGGCGCTCGGATCATCAGCTTTCTCAGTGGATGCCCCTCTCTGCAGGTCCAAAAGCTTGGCATTGCGGTATTTGTCCCATATTCTGTGGCTGAAAGAGGCTGAAGCGGGGGAAAGTGCCAAGAAATGCGAGTAATCTGGGGCTGGTGAATGCAGATCGTTTCCACTTCAGGAAACCTCCATTCAAGCTCCGTTCGAGCTCCAGCAGACGTGGAGACCCGGGGTCTTTGGGGGTTTGGGGACACTGACTCCACTGAACCACATCGAGATTCGAGTGACAACATCAGGAAGAGCTTCCGACGTTTCATCAATGACATCCATATCTGGGAGCCTGAATTAAACAGTTCATTCAACCAACATAATCAACAACTCTTTTAGTGGTTCAATCAAAGAGCACACGTTATCATGGTCCTCCTCACAGTGACACCCTCGATCTTGGAAGCTCTACAAAGAGTTGAAGATGCGCCGAGTAAACTACAACGAGATGGCGAACCATTACTGAGCGATGTCGATATCGGCGCGCCAATCTCACATGGGCAGATCGTGGATTTGTGGAATCTACTCAAAGCTGATGATCACAAAGAGTACAACTTGGAGATACTGCTGAGAGGTTCCAGCGTTTACATGCCTCCGCCGCCACTAAAGCCTGAGCCGGTAAGCCAACATGAGTCATCTCACATCACGAGATTGAGGAACCTTGCTAATTACCATAACAGTCCGATGAATACAAAGCATTGATGGCCAGACTTCGTCGTGATGAGGAGGAGCGCGCCTATGAACGCATGATCAACCCTGTTCAACCCATGGAGACCTTCTCGCAAATGTTCCCTTCAAGCACGGGAATGGCACGGTCATTCGCCGAAGCCAACAGACCTACTCGAAAGGAAGACATGGGCGACGATGATGTGACTTATGACGAGGTGCACCGCCAACTGATGCTCATCTTCAACTTCATGGTTACCATTCTCGGCGTGGCAGCTACTCTCTGGATTTTGGCAAGATGGTGGAGCACTCCGGCTAGGATCTTCCTCACCATGGGCGGCAGTATCATTGCAGGTATTGCCGAAGTTGCCCTGTACTCGGGCTACGTGTGGCATCTCGGTCAGGCGAAGAAGAAGGACAAAACTTTCAAGGAGGTCAAGGAGGTGGTTCAGACGTGGGTCGTTGGTTCGGAGGAGAAAGAGGCAGCGGACAAGCCGATTGCAATTGAGGGCAAAGAGTCTACGGCCGAGGATACAAACCTGAGGAGACGTAAGAAATAGGCTTGAGCATCAGTCACTAGCAATTTGTGAGTTGAAATCAACCCTATGCAAATATCATTGGAAGCCATGGGAGAGCCGATTCAGGGGGTTTGTTTACTTTCGTGATTGCTGGCAGGGATCCGAAGTCGCTGTGGTGGTGGGCCCCACGTCATTCAGCGCTGTGCTTGGCGACAGCTTGGCCCCGTGAACTCGCGTGCCAGACGCGTCGCGGTTCACAGAATTTGCCCATTCCAATCCCTGCGAAAGGGAAAGCCCACGCGGGGCGCAACCGCAAAGTGCGACCGCAAAAATACCAAATGTCTGTCGAAAGTAAACAAAACAGCAAAGAAAGCCCATTTTGACCCAACCCGCTTTTTCACCCCTCTCCCCCAAAACTGCGACAGTCAACGAATGAGACGATAAGGTCGACAATGTCGGCAGAAACCCTCGGCGCGAATCATACCACACAACCGCGCAAGAAGCCGATTCGAACATATGGCAGACGATCTGTCGCCGTCGCCGTCGCCAAACATGACTCCAAACCTTCGACGCCGCGACAGCTGAGTCCCGAAGACACACCAGCACCACAGCTACCAACGCCAAGCTCACCAGCTACCGTTACTCCGTCTGCCGAATGCCCAAAGACAAGCGCGCCCAAGTCCGGGTCGATACTCTCCTACTTTAAGGCAAAACCCAAGACACCTGTGCCTCTCATCAAAGCGACTACGCCCGCACCATCTGCTGCTACGGAAGAGCTGGTATCGACACCTCCTTCGCCGCCGCCTTCCAGCACCGGACAGAGAAAGCGCCGCAGATTGACCACCCGTCCCACCTTCGACGATGAATACGACGGCGAAGACCAAGCGGGCAAGAGAACGAAAGAAAATGGAGACGAGACACCGGGAATGGAAAATGGGACACCGCTCGATACACCTTCAGCCTCACAAACCGAGACCGACTCCACGGGAACAACAACGTCAAGTTCGAAACAGCTTGCGGCCCAAAAGAAACGGCCAGCAAAGACTCCAACAAAGGAAATGGTCCAGACCACACTGAGCCTCGCCATTGGCGAATCAAAACCCCAGTTCATTGTTTGCAAAGAGTGCAGCATGCTGTACAACCACCTAAACGACAAGGACAGAAGAGACCACAAGAGGGTGCATGCGGCTTATGTCCGGAGCAAAAACAAGGAAACCAATTCGTGACTAAAAATGGGCACGGCCGGTGTGTCAATGCATACGACCAAGACAAGATTATAAGGAATATTCTTTGCGAGATGATCCCCAATCCATTCTTCAGCTGGACGGTTTGCGATCTGGGATTGGCCAGACGGAGAAACCTCTGCCAAGAAACGGACAAAATTTAATCATCAGCGCATCACCACCTCGGATCGGTTACATCATTGACGCAGGAGCTTTGGCTATGGTTCTGTTTGTTCAGACCTCTGGGAAATACTACAAAATGATCGTGATGGCACCGTCTGGACAGGATGGAGGCATTGGATTCTGTGTTACGGCAAGCTAAGCAACCAAGAGCCTACAAAGTCGACAACATGGTCTATCAGCACGGAAACCACCATGACATTCCGAAAGAGCATCGGATACATAGGTAAGTAACACTTACCCGGGCCACACCTGATGTGCTGAATCCTAACAAATTACCAGGCGTGGAGGATGGCTACCCGCCGACCACCGCATCCTCAAACACTGGCTCGGCCACCACATCGAACACATCGACAAAGTCGGCTACCAAGAACTGACTCCCGTTCTCAAGGAATTCCAGGACCTCATTGAAAACAACACCCGCATCTACATGTACTTCAGCTCCATGTGGGACGAAGTCCCGCGCAAGCCCCCTTACAACCGGGACGTGACCGGCCGGAGCCAAATCCGTGACTACAAGCACATGCTCCAAGTACTCAACCGCGTCTTCGGCCAAGCCCCCGAGTGGACCGACGCCGCGGCGGGCGTGGGCATGGTCGGCGTCCCTCTGGCCGCCATCTTTGACTACGCCTCCGGCACGCCCAGCGGGCACGCCGCCTTTCTCGACCCGGACGTGAACGCCATGCTCAAGAAGATTCTCAACGAATGGGGCCGGTATCTCAAGTCGCCCGAATCCGCCTCCGTCCTGGGCACGCATCGCGCGGGCTGGTTCGGCGAAGTCGGCTCCAAGGACTTGATGGAAGTAGCCAACTCCGCCGCGGGCACCTCCTTCACCTTTGAAGAAATGTACCAATGCCCCGACCCCTCTGCCCCGAATCGTGGTTTTGAATCTTGGGACGAGTTCTTCACCCGGCCCTTCGTGCCCTCCGCCCGCCCCGTCGCTTCGCCCGAGGATAACCTCGTGGTAGCCAACGCGTGCGAGTCCAAGCCCTATGCTTTATCGCACGACATTAAGCTCCGCGACAAGTTCTGGGTCAAAGGCCAGCCATATTCCGTCCTGGACATGCTCGCGCACGATCCACTCTCGGCTCACTTCGCAGGCGGAACCGTTTACCAGGCTTTTCTGTCCAGTCTGTCGTATCACAGGTGGCACAGTCCCGTGTCAGGAACCATCAAGCGCGCCTTCGTGCAAGACGGGACGTACTTCTCCGAACCGCTATTCTCAGCGAGCGCATCCGACGACCCCTCCATCGACCGGACGGGCAAAGAAGGCGAGTACAAGATTCTGCAAAAGGGCATCACGGCCAGTCAGGGGTATTTGACTGCGTTGGCCACGCGCGCAATTATTTTTATTGAGGCGGAGGCGAAGGAGATTGGGCTGATGGCGTTTATTGGCGTTGGCATGGATGAGGTTAGTTCATGTGAGATTACCGTGAAGGAAGGACAGAGGATAGGAAAGGGGGAGGAGCTGGGTATGTTTCATTTTGGGGGGTCGACGCATTGTTTGGTTTTTGGAAAGGATGTGGGAAAGAGGCTGAAGGGGTTTCCGAAGGTGGGCAGGGAGGAGAATTTCCCGGTTAGGGGGCGGTTGTGTGCTTTTGAGAAGTGAAGTGAGGGAAGGGGGTGGGGGTGGGAGTGAGTGTCTGCATGGCATTTGGAGGGATGGATATATGGATGGTACGGTAGTTGACGGAAATCATTTGTGTTTCCACTTGTGCTCAAGAAAATTGTCCAGTCGAGATGGAGAATGAACTCCCCATGACACCGTGTGTTGGTGTGTTACCGTAGGTATTGTTCTCGCGAAACTGAGACCCGGAAAATCCGCAGTTCACGCGCCCTTACTTGACTCGCAATCATGATCCAAAAACAAAAAAACAAGTAAATATATTGCCTGTGCTTTGGCTCGACGTAGTCGCCCAGAAGATATAAAGATAATCGATGCGTCAACGCTAGTTTGTCTAGAGGTGTGAGCATACCTCTATGTTCATCAGAGTGGACGGAGTGGCTTCGTCAGTGATGGTGGTAGTAATGTGTATGTACTTGCTGTGTGTGTGTGTGTGTGTGTGTGTGTGATCGCCCCGCAAAGCAACGGCTGATATCCTGGGCTCTGCCACTTCGTACCTAGGTAGCTAGAAAGAGTACAAACAACGAAAAAACGAAAAGAAAAAAAAAA